TAAAAGCTTTTTCACAGCTAAGGCATATCGAATTCTTTCAGAAGAAAGAAAAGATTTTTCAAACGTAAGAAAGGACGATAGTCATTTTGTAGCGAGGACCTATCCCAATGAATTTGGTCAACGTCTCTCTATGGCATTTTGGATTAGTCATGGTGTGTATCGAAAGTTTGAAACCCATTCGCCACGGGCAGTCCTGTTCTTAAAATCTCTCGTTGAAGAGTCACGCGAGCTGAACACGATGATGTCAGAAAGGTGAGAAGAGAGTATCTCTCTTCCTTTTCGAAAGAGAAATATAGATTAAATAGTTATATGAATTTAGAGAATTATTTAGAATATATACTTCAATTAAAAAAATATATCTATTTTTTCTCTCTAAATTTATGAACATTATAAATAATTCTTTAAGTAAATTCTCTATATATATTAAAATAAATATCTTAAATAGAATATTTTATACATATATATATATATATATATATAAAAATAAATTTATATGTGGCAAAATTTAAAGTGAAACAGAATACAAAACTAAAAGTGACAAGGGATTACGCAAGTAAGGAAAGAAATTCCAATCTGAAGGAATATCTCTCCGAGGTCTTTCGATTTTCATCCGGAACACGAGTTTGTACTTGGCCGTAATAAAGTATCGTAAGATAAAAACGAACGCGAACGATAAATCGTAGCCGGATACCCCGAATACCTGGATACCTTTCGATCTCGAGCGCACCTGTACGCCGTATATCTCGAACGTAGAGATTATTTTTATGCTTGGCTCGTTAAACAATAAACGCCTATGGTCTAACGTCCTTTTACACTCCCTCACTTACTCTCTCACCTTGTCTGTATATCCTTAAATTAAATGCAATTTGCGTTCCGTTCCTGTCGAATGATTCTTTTGGATATTTTCTTCTCCAACATAACAGATAAATATCTATAACAAGTACAGTAACAGGTGTTGTACCCAGAGAACAAATTATTATTTGATAAATACAAACGAGTTATAAAAAAAAAAATAAAAAAGAAAGAAAATAAGAAAAAACTCACGATTTGTAGAAAATTTAGTTAGAAAAGTTCTGACATTAGAAGTAAACCGAAAAATAAATAAATATACTATTCTAATCATTTTAAAAACCATTTTGATTGAAAATAATAATAAAAATATAAATTATATATAGGACCTGTATATATAGAACTGAATAGTAGATAGGTGAATGTATGGTTGCATAGATGCATATAATATATATATACAGTGCGTTCCAATCGTAGTGTCGAGCACTATCTCTTGGAATAAAATAAATAGCGACTTCTAACGGTAGAGTCTGTCTTACGAAAGGTTCACGATTCAAAGTAGCAATAGTGAAACGAAACGAAACGAAACGAAACGAAACGAAGAGACTCAGAATCCTGTAGTTTCCGCACGTGTTCAAGCACGTGCGACTCTCTCGTTTCGAGGAGAGTATGTACATGCATATATACGCGTATCTCTAAGCAAAGATCGCAAGTCGTGAATCTGCAAAGTGGATAAGGAGATGATGCATTGCTTCGCTGTAGTTAGAACATTGTGTGTTGCCTGGATTTGCTCGATATCGATGACGAAAGTTTGCTGCTAAAACATTTTATCTCTTGGTAAAAGCTTGTTAGCTTGTCTCATGAAGAAAATAAAATGAATAAACAGATAAATAGATATCTATAAATTTCTATGAATGATTCTAAATGAAAATGCCATACATTTATATTTTGCAAGTAAAAAAAATATTACTAAATAAATAACATTGAGTTGGAGAGAATAAACTATCAGACTGGTCTTATACTTGAGTAAACTGGATTTGAACTTGACTAATATAAATAGAACTGAATCTATAATGAAACGTTCTGATAAACAAATCGAAACAAAACAAAATACGGGCATTTTATTGTTAACACACTGTACCTTAAATTCTTTCTATAAGAGAAGATTTTTCTAAATAAAAATGTTAGAAAGAAAAAAGAAAAGATTTGTCTATTGGAAGCTGTTGGTACTGGTCGATTTGATCTCGTGGACGACCATGAAGAGATTTACAGTTATATACATGTAGTTATCTATGTAGCTACATAGAAAGTCATGGGAAATAGAAAGAGGGCGAGAGAAGCGAACCCCCGTAGCGTTCTCGCATCGGGAGAAGTCTGAGAAGATATCATCAAAAGAAGGAGATGCGCCTGCTTCTTGTATGTACGTCTTACAAGCTTATATACCGTAATCGTCCCCGTCGTTCCGCGTCGAACGCCTAGCGCCCATCTTACGCTCGTCTCTCGGTCAAAGTCCTCGTCAAGGGATTTACGTTCTTTTTCTACATCCAACTATGATACATAGTAACGTATTTACCTCGACAATTTCAACGAGAAAAACAAGAAGCTTTAGATGATAAATTGCACATTGGATAGTATACAAAAAAACATATATATATATAATAAAAATAAAAGTTAATCTTTTTGAAATAAAAAGAAATATAAAGATGAGGCAGTTTAGGAAATTATAGATAGTGCATGTTTTAATTATCTTACTAACTGAAATTAATAAATACAAGGGATATTTCTACCTGATATCTCTATTATCATATCTTGATATGATCTTGATTATTGAACAGCTGATTTAAGAGATAACCTATATTTATAAACGTTATTCTTTAATAATACAAGTCAAATGAAAAGGTTCTAATTTAAATTTAAAAAAGAAATGAAGTATATCATCAAGAAGAAAATTGTCGATAAAATCCATTATCAGAGAAATGAATTTTGATCAAGTACACACTTTCTCTCGAAAAATATTCAAACCTGATCGTCTATAAATCGCTAAACGATCTGCTTTCGTTGGAAATATAAGCGAGGAGGAGGACGACGAAAAGACGGTGATGGTTGCATCGGATACGTTGCAGACATCGAGAAAGAGTAGGTACGTCATTAGCCTCCGTAAGGAAGAGGACGTAATGTTATACATTAGGCGTTAACGACTACGTAGATAGTCTACATACTGTATAGAGAGGCACTTGCTGAACGAATTTTACGCGGTTAACTTAAATTAGTTTATTATTCGATGAACCTAAGAAAATACTTTTATCACGATTCCAAGTATCTAAACAATTTTTTCACGAGAAATACCAAATATTTTCAATGAAACGAAGGAAACACTATTACTCTTCATTCTAAATATCTAAATGAATGAAATAAAATGTAAGAAAGTAATGTAATATATAAAAAACACCTTGTACATAGATCGTCTTTGTGATGAGGGTATATTTTCAGTTTCGGCCACCGAGCATGATCGCAGCACGCATTCCAATGCAAATAGCTGTTGCCTCGAGGATGACCGTAATCGTCGCAATTTCATGCTTCTCAGAAATTCAAGCTGCCTACCTCCCTCGCTCGGATGATCTGCTACATCTCCCTTTCTCTCTCTCTTTCTTACTCACTCTATACCAGAGCGTAGAGAACCGATAAAACACCCTTGGGCTATTTTCAATTCGCTATTTTATCGACTAAATGGTTCAGAAAGAGAGAGAGAGAGAGAGAGAGAGAGAGAGAGAGAAATGGGACGATGAAAAATCGATCATTTACTGGCCACCTTTGTAGAGAGTTTGTTTGTTTCTGGATTATGTATCGGTGACACTTGAAATCGTTTCCTCTATCGATCACTCATAATATCGATCATGAGTCAACACGTCCAAAGATTTGCCTGAGACATCGAGGAAGAAGCTGTCCAACCGGATTAAACGCTTTGCGACGAGATAGAAGGAATCCGGATTTAATGAGAAGGATGTTTGAGAAATCGGAGAACGTACGAAATGTATAGAGAGTGAGTGAGAGAGGGAGAGAAAGAGAATGAGTGAGTGAGTGAGTGTGTGAGTGAGAGAGAGAGAGAGAGAGAGAGAGAGAGAGAGAGAGAAGTGCTCGTATGAGAGTCGATCTCGTGTTTATTAGAGCGTACGATCAGTCGGATGAACCATGGAAACGTGCCGTGAAACGAATTATGCGCTACTCAGATCCGATTGGATATGCTGTCAAGTCTACGTCCAAAGTAATCTGATAGGAGGATGATGTTCTTAAAAAGAGACAATTCCATGCTACTACGTTAAATTATCATTTTTTTATGCGATAAAAGCAGATTTAAAAGAAAGAAGAGATACATATGTCCAAAGTAATATCTAATAGGATAATATTTTTAAAAAAACCTTGCTACTACAGATTTTTTTTATGATAAAAATGTATTGAAACAAAGAAAAAGAAAACTACGTCGAGTAAAAATTTGTAAAAATTTGTTCAAATAACTCGTTTCAATATATATATTTACAATACTAATTCATTTGAATACATGTACTCATATACTTTGATAGATATATGCGAGTGGAGAAGTGGCATGCATTTTTTGATCAATCCAATATAAGGAGAGAAAGAGGAGTTGAAAAAAAAAAGATAGAGAAGCGAAAGCCAAGACTGAAAATGCTAATGAAACGTGTCGAGCATACTCATCGTCGACAGGGTCGTTCGATACTTTCACAGGTCGAAATTTATCGAAATTTAATTCGCCGTAGGATCAGGTAGGGACACTACTGAACTCTGTTCGATGATGATCGGCCATAAGAAATATTAAATGGAAAGTTCATGCCACTTCTCCGTTCATATATATATATATATATATATATATATATATATATATAACGTTTAGTTTAGATTTTAATTATTTTATATTTGTCTAAACAAATTGAATATTGATCATTTGCACATATCTTAAATAAATGAGGCATTAGACCGAGTCTTAATATTTGTTTTCTCCATTTAATTTAAATTTTATTGATTCATGTAAATTTTGTGCGTTAACATTGAAGAAGCTGGAGGACATTTGATACACGTATTTTCCTGACATTCCAATAAAATACATACATACATATATATATATATATAAATACAATCAAGAGAAAGAGAGAAGATATAAAAAGCATATAGATGACAGATTAATTTTTGTTCAGGGTGGTCGGAGCGGTGGTCGTCGGCGCAGCCGTTTGTGGGCGAATTCCGGGATTGGCTAAGAGTCAAAGAGAACAGTGCAGAAAGGCGCCACACGCGATGCCTGCTGTCGGTGAGGGTGCCGAGCTCGGTCTTCGAGAATGCCGACATCAGTTTAGACATCATCGATGGAACTGTTCTCACGTTGCCAACGATCAGATCTTTGGTCATGTCGTCGTAGTAGGTAAGAATTTATAGAGAGACTGACCCTAAAGGGATTTCCTTCTCTATGGTCCTCTATGATTTATTCGACCATAAACGAGAAATCTTTTTTTTTTTGTTTATCATTGAGAGAGTTGTGTCGATCGTATACTAGAAACCATATTAATAAGCCGTTAATGGCCCCAAACCTCTATCTAAACCTATTTCGAAATATTACCTAGAATTTATCCGATTACATATTTCAAATCTTCGAAGAATCTACACTTTTGAATAGAGGAAATGTCAAAGTTTTCTTATTATCGATGATCGAATATACCTACTAGTTCGATGACTGGAATGACTTATTTATTAACCTGGAAAAGTTCTATATATACCTGTAACTAGTCACATATATCATAGAACACTCATTTCAGTTATTCCTTATAATCATATATATCTACATATATCTACCAGTTTATATTTAAATTTCAAAATCTTTGCTCGAATAAATTTATCGAGTGAAAGATGAAAATTAATAACGAGAAAAAAGAATTTGATTTTTTTTTCTGGACGCAAGGGACAAGTAAATAAATAGGTAACAATTTATATAAAAGCTTCTGGTCTTGAAATTTCTTAGAGACGTTGTATGTATGTACAATGGACCGTGGCGAAGTTACGACACGACAAATGATACGAGCGATATCTCTTACGGACAAGATAATCCGTTCGCTTGTGAACGAAATCTGACGTGATCCACTGGTATAAATATCTTTAAGTGTGCATATTTGTCATTCTGACGTTAAAAAGAGAGAGTATGCATTTAGGTAGGTTATCTCTGTCGATGACGTTCTGGGAAATAAGTAGCTTGGATGCAAGGTTAAAGTTCACGCTTGGTAATTTCTCATGATTAAAGTAGACACCTTGCAAGTGGGATTAAGAGAGGATGAAAGAAGAAAAAACGAACGTAGAGTTATATGAAAAGAGAAATGATTTATAGTATGAATCTTTTCGTGTTCAAAAATATCTATTGATATTTCTTTCTTTTTCTTTTTCTGTTTCTGTTTTACAGTACTCTTTGAGAATTTATTTTTATAATAATTTCTTTCTTTTATTATTTCCTTTAAAAATATCATTTTGATATCGACATTGATCGACATACTAAATGTATTTCAAGTTATGAAATCAAAGTGAAAGAAATGCAATGTTCACGTGAGACGAAAATAGCAAGTTTGAGGATGTTGACTAACAGAAATAAGAAAGCGCAAAAAATGGATCTAGAAAAAAAGGAGAAAAGAAAAAATTCTTATGAGCGCGAGGAGCAGTCGGTCGCTAACTTAATTAGTGAAATTAACGAGACCGCTCGACATGTCGAAGTTAAATACAACGATATTTCGTTCGAGTAAAATTTCCTTGAAGTAAAACCATTTGACTTGGCAGATAATATTCCTTCGCGTAGGATTATGTTCTTAAGAAAAAGGAAATGCGTTATAGATATATTGTACATACTTAAAAGATTAAATGAAAGATCGAAAAAAATTGTACGTCAAAAGAAAAACCTCTCTATTGGCTTTTTAATTAATACTAAAAGAACAACCAATTCACTTTTACTACACATTATTTTTTGTTTTAAAATAATAAATAAATATAAAGCTGTTGTAATAATTATAAAAAACGAATTTAATACTTTTAATCTTACAATAACAGTATCCTCGAGAAGAGAAAAAGACAATAAAAATAAGTAAATCTTCTTTTCGAAATTCGTAAAATTTCTCTTAACACATGAAAGTCATAATCTACGAAAGTCATAATAATTCAATATTATGCACAGAAATTGTGGCATTAATCGATACTGGCCCTAATATGGTCGACTTTAATTAAAGATGATTACGTTCCTTCCCCTCTTTGGATCGATCTTCGAGATGCGAAACGATCGCAAGTTGCCTCACGGAAGCTCGTAATAATGTTTGAAAGTAATTGAAAATATAGCTGGGGCAGTTGGATTCAGTGACTGGATTCGTCGATTCGCAGTGAATAAATTTTCATAAATTAGACGAAATGATTCTCGAATATACGACTGAAGAGGAGGCGTAAGAGGATGAGGAGGAGGAGGAGGAGGAGGAGGAGGAGGAGGAGGAGGAGGAGACTCCTTTTACGATTGGAGATTACGTGGGCGATTTGACTGGAGCTAATCTCGTCAAACGAATCGTAGCGATTAAGAGATCCATTACATGGCTCGGACACACGGTTTCAGTTTCGGTTTATTATCTAAGTATTATTAATTCGTTCCGACTCGATATTAAAATGTTTCAGTAATTTTTTTCTTCTTTTGAAAAAATAAGTAAAAATCGAATCGAATTTCTAAGAATCTATTTTTTTAATGGAAAAGAAAAAAATCTAAGTATTATTAATTCCTGATACGTTTCAATAATCGTTTGAAGAAAGAAATAAAGAGATCTAGAATTGAATTACTTCAAGATAAATCTTATTGTATTCCCCTAATAGATCAAATAAATTTATCGTATAAATTTATGGTGATATAAAAAGATCCATTTTATTTAGAGAAGAATCTCCTTAAAATATTATTCGAGCAATCTGGTTTCAGTCAAAGGTGAGAAACGGTCACGTTTTTATCGACTTGATATCCTCAAATAAATCTAGAAAAATGTTCTCTGGATGAACAGAGAGAGAAAGAAAGATAAAAGAAGAAATGTTTCGTTGTTTCTTCGTCGAGTGAATCTTCTCGATTCGGATAACGTTATTGGCACGAAACAGTTTACGTTAATGCGCTGGAGAGTCTTATCAATTTCTGCCGAACCCAAAAAAGCTCTTCTCCTTTTTCTATCCTTTCTTTCTTTATTTATTTATTTTCTTTTTTTTTTTTTTCATTGTTTTTTCTCTTATCTCGGACCTACCCAATCCAATTTATCCTAAAATTTGATGCTAAAATCCTCTACTCTACTTTGAGAGATCGATAATAATATTCTTTATATGTATAAAAAAAAAAATTATCTTTTCACAAGAAGAAAAAAAGAAGAAAAAATAAATGAATCAACTCTCGAATGTCCTCGTTGATCTTAGTTTTGACTCGGTTACTCCAAAAGGGTGACAACTTGTATCTGAACCGATCAGACAGTACCTTGTCCTCGTCGGGAGATAATATTCGCATGTCGAAAGAGTGACTCGACCGGTTGAACAAATTTCAAAGGATGAGTATCGAACTACATAGCCTATATAATCGAAACTAATTTTTAATTAATTATTTTTTTTTTTTTTTTCATTCAAATATATTAAAGGAATAGTTCGCAACGTCTTTTCACCAAAGAAAAAATAAAAGTTATCGATGATTAAATATTCACATTTTGCAATACTTGTACAATGCTAAAGAAGAATCAAAGTAAATAAAAGGACGTGCGCGCACGAACGCACGCACGCACACACAAATATGGTACGATCTCAGGTAACATGGAAGAAGTTGTATAAACTATAAAAAGTTCATGAGACTTTAAAAGAGAGAAAGAGAGAGAGAGAGAGAATCGTGGATAATTGTATCGTGCCGGAGCAAGACTCGATCTGTCTCTGTCGACTTTATCTTACCGCTAATTTGTTCGATAGGTCGCCCTCGATACGTGCGACGGCTACAGAAAACGCGAGATTCGATTCTAAGGAAAATAAATTCTCTCTTCTCTTGTGTATATATACATGTACGTATGTACGTAGGTAGGTAGGTAGGTAGGTAGGTAGACAGGTAGGTAGGTAGGTAGGTAGGTAGGTAGGTATAGCAATTAACAAAAGTAACGATATATTGAACGATATCGTACATATATATTTTCATAGCCTAATATGTTACAAGCAAATAAATTCAAGAGATTTAGATTCGAGATATAATCGATTAATCTAAAATGACAAAGGAAATTTTTCTCAAAGAAAATAAATGATTATACTTATTCGATATAAGTATAAACGATATAATAATGACCGATAAGAAATAAAAGATAGACTAAATCGTTTATTAGCATATATCTGATTTATGTTTATCCAAACTATACTCTCGATTTCTTTTTTAATCCCCCATAACATTTGTCTAAAGTAAAACGATGCTCGACGAAAGGAGAGCTCGTGTATATCATAAATTACTTGCGACTTATGGTTGCACATATACATACATGCATCGAACAAGTATGTGAGTAAGGAACCAGTATTCGGTCTGGTCTCTCTTCTTCTTCTTCTTCTGCATATCCAACCGATGATATACACTTGGATACCAAAGAGACAAATTTCCATTTACAACTCGAACGAGTAACATCATTGAATACGATCGAAAATGTCTTGTGACATCGAGTTAACCTCTTTGACTACACGTTAACTAACAAAGTTTCAAGCCCAATGTCGACGCATTAACGAAGCGAAGGATATTTAGATTGCACGAATCGATATATCGAAAAATTGCCCGAGGTTCTACCATTCGAAAAGGGTCCTGCTAAATTATTATAGAGAAATAAAGTATAGCTATATTGTTTCAAGAGCTTCTCTATATTAAAATACCTAATCAAAAATCATATTTTTGTTACCTAAGAATAAAATAAATACTTGGCTTTATTCACAAAATTACTGAAAAAAAAAAATAGATCACGCGATCGTTGACATGGTTAATGAAATTACTATTTTCTTAAAAAGAAAAAAAAAAAAAAAAAAAAAAAAGAAAGAAAAGAGAAAAAAAAAGTAACAATTCGCACAGTAGTCGATCTATTATTTCAGAAAAGATCTATAGATCGTTTATACGAGGACGAAGCTGCCGTGAAAATGTAGAATAGCATCGTTGAGAGACATGTAATAGGCATAAGTTAGACTAACACTTGCACGTCTTGACGTCAAAGGATACCCGAGTAAGCTATAAATCATGTCTTCTAACGTAACGAACGTTGTAAACGAGCTCCAACCATAGATCTTAAAGTTTAACTAATGCCTAGACGACCCCCCGCGGTTCTATTCCACAACCAACTGACTACAGGTTCCTTCTATATAGCGACCTTCTTTGCTCTATTA